GACAAAAGGTAAAATAATCAAACCAAAAATATCGGCAGAGCTCATCAGTTACTCTGTATGTTAAACTGTTAAATTGGTATCGGCATCGGCCATTGGAAAAACTCTACAGATCTCTAGTCTGTGCATTTGACCCTGATCACTGGGGATGTGCAAAAATATCAAAATAGCGATATATTGTACTGTTTAATGTGATTATATAGTATCGATACCGTGGGCTGCTATGTCGATATATTGCCAAGAGTATTTTTTTTTGGTATACTGTATTTTAATAAATTATTTTGTTACAGAGCTACGGTTTTGTTGCTTGTTTAGTGGAAGGAAATTCCTTTATTTGACACATTCGACATTTTCACTGTTTTGATGATGAAAATCTGTTACTTCTTTACACAAGAAGTGGTTTAACAAAGACTTTAATATCACAGCCAAAATTTAGCCTTTTTTTTTTTTATTGAATCGTATCAAATCGATTTGAAATATATTGTATCGAATCGAAAGTGGACTATATCGAAATATGTATTGTGCCGTGGAAAGGGCCAATGTATCGAAGTATGTATCGTATCGGCAACTTCTTAATGATACCCAGCCCTACTGATCACGTATATCAGTATCAAAGGTCAGAGTTTACCAAATGCACTGACCCTATTTTACATGATGCACCATTAAATATTCTATGATATGACCAATAATGCATGAATCACCCAGAATTTAAATGTTACTTGCAAATTAATTAAACAGACATGGATATTATGAGGTGGGCAATATATCAAATTATCAATGATATGTGATTGTTGCTGAAGATAATGCAAAACATATTGGGAATGTTGTTTATAATTAAGGAACTATCTCAAAATGCTGCAAAACGAGCCTTTTCTTTTAAATGTTTGATCTAAACCAATACATGCAAAGACACATTTAACACATTTCTTCTGGACTGCAAAAATATGTTGTTATTCTAAACTAATTATTAATTAATAAAGTCACTCCAAATGGATATCTGTTTTATAACTCTTGAATATATTTACATTAGCATAGGAAATCTAATTCAGCTGCAAAACCAATAAAAAGAAAGGATTAGGTTTCTCTGGACATATTTCTTGGTTACGGTCTAGCACCAACAAATAGTCCACATCGTCAATATTTTTTATGGTTAATTCAATACGGATACAGCACTCCTACTTTGTTCTATGGAGATACAGTGACTCAGCTGTTTGTGCGTTCAGCTAAGAGAGGATAATGGCATCACTCCCCAATAATGACCCCATCTGGACTACAGCTCCCAGGGGTCAGGCTCACGGGGCAGCTGTGAGGACCGCTGTCATGGCATGGGGCTGTTAGGACTATTGATTACAATTACACAACAGCTCCCAGTGCCTCCATACAACAAGTCTAACTAAACATTTCCAACTGCTATTGATTTGTGATATCCACAGATCCATACAGGCAAAATGCATGAGAATGGAGCAGGGAGAAAGTTGTCATCAAATACAACATGACTACAGTTAAAGGGCCCATATTACACTGATATTTTTCTGATTTAGGTTATAATGTTGTTTCCTCATCACGAAAATACCTGGAGTTGAGTTTTGTTTCATTTACACATGTTTAAAACACAAAGCCTGCATATTTAGGCTGAGTTCTTCTCTCAAACTGAGTAATGATGCAGGATTACTGAAAATGTGTGTGAATGAAATAAAACACAACTCCAGGCATGTTTTTGATGAGATACTAACATTATAACACATCTTAAAGCTCACAAGAGTCAATTTCACATAATATAGGATTAATAGGGATGTAACGGTATCCAAATCCCACGGTACGATATTTATTGTGATATTTTGGAGAGGCTGATATAATTGTAGGATGCTTTTTGCTTTTAAAATACCCTGACAAGAATTTGGTGTGAATTATTAGTCATAATCTATTATTCTTATCTCATATTTCTTCATGTTGTCTTCTCTGAAATTAATCATGGGATACGTAGTTACAGATGTTTATTAGCTAGTGCTGCTGTAAAACAAGACATTTAAGCCAAGGAACTTGTAATTCAATATATTGTGATGCTCCACGACATTATAAGATTTTTGATGATACGATATCATGATATTTCGTTTACTGTTACATCCCTAAAGATTAACTGTAAAAGATGAACTAGTTTTCTCCTCTTTGACAATTTTGGTTTAGGTTTATAGCTTTACTTCTTGCTTGGACATGGGCAGCAGATATGACATACATATGACAGGTAGAGGTAACCACTACTTCCTGTATTTTTATACTTTTCTCTGCAATGCTTTTCCTCGAACTGACACCAAGCCAAGTAATAATTAGAAAAAAGGAAAAAACAAAACATTAAAACCTGGCATATGCTCAGTTTTACAACCTGGGATAAGATCTGTTTTGAGTTATATGTTTAAGAAAAGGATCTGCTCCTATGACCTGACCAACCTTCAATGACCACATCAAAACTCATTAGGGGATATATTTGTTTTGTTTACTGGACTGCTGCCAATATTTATTGCATGGTTGGCTGTTCTATCAGTGGATCCTCCCTTCTGGGCTCTCTTTAGAGAAAGTGTTTTTACTAGAGGCACAGAATGTTTTGTTCAGTTCAATCTGAAAAGCTATTTGAGGTAATCTTATGATAATAGGCATGCATTTTAGATATTGTGTTATCATTTATGTTCTTAAAAAAGCCAAGGATGATAGTATAGTTAAATCCTTACTTTTTTTAGCTTCTCACTTTTAGGATCACCTCAGCAAATAATGTTAGTTTCAGTTTCATGAGTAGTGAGCTTTATCCAAATGAACTGATTTGTTTAAACAGTCAACCCGGAAGCATATTTGACATATTTATTCCATTTTTACCTTCAAAAGACATGGAGTGACAGTGGCAAAGGTTTGTATAGTTGGAAATATATTTTTAGTCGTTACAGATCCTGAAATTACCACAACAACTAACAACTTGTGAGAATATCTACAACTTAAGAAATACAAAAATAATCAATTTCCACTACAATAGCCAGCACACTACAACATTATAATCTAGCGGGACTGGGATATTTACTCTTAGCGCAAACATTGTAGTGGGAGCCAAAACAGATGACCATCAACCACAATATGGTCTTTATGAATCAGATGTCCCCTCCCTCTGTGGTGCATGTTGCATGGAGGAATATATTAGCAGACAGCATATTGTTTTGTGTACTGTGGCATTCTTATCCCACTGAGAGGGTCCATAGAACACGAGACCCCAACAACACAACTATACATCCACTTCTACCGTGTATTTGCTCTTTTGTTTATAACGCTCACACAATAACATTCTGCGCTAGGCCAGTTCTCCAGAGCATGCTAATTTCCCAACATGCATTCTTCTTCTGTGCTCTCCTCCCTCCAGGCATCTCTCTGGCAAAGCACCACAGTGAAAATGAATAAATAATACGAAGGTGTGGTTGGATGTCTGGGATCCTGAGTCAGGATTCCATTTTCGTGACAGCACAGTTCGTTACCAGGCAACTTTAAAGACTTTAAGAAATACTGTTAGACAAAACTCACCACAACGCACATTTGATTAACTCTGATGTATTATAATATTTGGTTGAACATTTTATGAACCAAAAACAAATCTCTTTGAATGAATCCAGATGTGATGTGAGCTTTAATTTTGGTTGCCACATCAGAAATTAAATGAGCATTTTTAATAAACTTAAAAGGGCTCATATTACTCTATTTTCTAATCTATGTTATAATGTTGTTTCCTCATCACAAACATACCTGGAGTTTGTGTTTTGTTATATTCATGCAAGTTTAACACACAAGGCTGACCTATTCTCTCATACAGAAAACACTCTGTTCCACCTTGTGATGTCATTTGGTAGTACAGTGCCCCACTGTGTTTGTAAACTTCATAAAACTTCATTAGAATCATTTGCATAATTTCGGCCCTGGAATTGCCAGTCTCAACTAAACTTGAAAACTTGAAAACTACCACTTTATGACACTGCACGATAGAACAGGGTATTTCCAGCTTTGGAAATGTAGACAGACTAATAATAAAATGTGTGAATGAAACAAAACACAACTCCAGGTATGTTTTTGATGAAGTATAAACATTATAACATGGCTTAAAGCTCACAAGAGTCAGTTTTGTGTAATACAGGATCCTCAAACAAGTACAAATCTAATATATATATATCTGAGCCAAGACAAACCCCAATAAAAAGCAGTAGGATGGATCTGCAACTGATTCCAGAAGAACACTTTGGGGTGTGGCATCTCAGGTGAGCCAAACTGATTTTCGTGCAGGCAAAAAGAGTAGTAATGGGCATGCACGTTATTGTATTATTCTATTGTTACTATTGTACCATTGGTCATAGCCTTTTGTACAGAACAAACACTCCACAATAGTTTTAGAGTCATAGAAGAAAAGTGATACTCCGCAGGTAACAAACGCTCACTCAAACTTTAAACTTTAACATTATGTCACTGTCACTGGATACTCCATATACAACGGTCACAAACCTGAAACTATAGCCACACACTTTCCCTTGTGAGAAGATATTATGTCATGACAGTGCATCCCAGTGAAAAACAATACGCTCATTGACATATGCTCCAGGGGTCATACTGCACTGATTCTTTAAGTGCTCATAACAGGACAAGAAAAAGATTGAAACCATAAATTCTATGCTTGTATTCTGGGATGGGATAGTATCTTATGAATACCAACAAGACAGAAAGAAAAACAAGTGTCTAGACATGGTCATCTTGGTGTCATTGTTAACATACCTTTTCGAAACCTGACCTGTATTTTGACCCCTCCTCATGCCCACCACACGTGCCCCCTCCCCTCCCATCCTTCTCCCAGTTACAAAGTCAGCTTCCGCTCTCATTTTCCTACACAATTCCCAACCAAAACAGGGTAACCTTAACGTGCCTTCTGGTCAAATACAAGAAAAACCTGAGAGGGGGAATTCAACGTGGTGCGTGGTTTGAATACTTACTACAAGCACGGATGTCCTCACCACCTCCGAGACGCTTTGCCTGAGTTCCGCCGCTGTTCCAGGCTTGCCCAAACCACGCGTAAATTTCCTGGTCTCCGGATGATGCGCAGGAGTTGCCATGTCTTTGAGAGCTTTTGCATCAATAGCAGTTCAAGTCCCACAAATTACAAAAAACACCCAAATGTGTAAGATTTATCCGTTTCTTCTAGCGCCGCGCTCTCACTCGACTTGGAAACATGCTGAAGGTGCGTCCACGCCTCGTAGTCCAAAACTTTTCTAAACGCTACAAATCTTACATTTTAGTTTTCTTCTGTCAAATCCTGCCTCGTTTTCTGACAGAATAACAAAACCGCGTTGAGAAGTGTGTCATTGGCCGAGTCCAGCCAGAGCAGTCAGGAGGTGTATAATCTGGTTGTGCGCGCTTTGCTCTCCGCCCCTCGCCGGTTAAAGGCCAACCCACCGCGTAACTCCCTGGATACTCTAGTACTGCGAAAGTCCCTGGACTGGACTTTGAACTGCTGATTTAAATTCAATATATTAATATGTAACACACATTATTAGTCTAATTGAACACACCCACTCATTTTAGTGTTTGTGATTCTTCAACAAAAACGCAAAGGACAATTATTTGTATTGCCAACATTATCCCTCATACTTATCAACATTAGAAATTTAACTGTTAAAAAAGGGGGAAGTAAAGTTTCAAAAGAAGTTCATTTGTATACATTTGTAAGATGTAGTTGGCAGTACTGTCACTACAATAGGGTGCTACTGATGTGGGTCAGTGTGTTGGTGGAATGGCTGAACTCATGGCCAAACTAGTTTAAAACAATTGCGCCATCTTCTGGCTACCGTTGGGAATATAACAACCACGATGAATTTAAAGCAACAGCGTGTAGTTGTTTTGTTTTTGGGTTTTTTTGGGGGTTTTTTTTTTGGTGGCGGTCACCTGCATGACTAGGGCAATAAAAAAGTGAAAGTAGATACGGTTTATATCATATGATGAAAAAACTGCATTCAAAACAAACCTAAGAGACAAGCAGGTGTTCTTCCTCTAGGGCATGTTATGTTTGAGTCAAATTTGTGGAGATGCAAGCCTGCTTACAAAAAGGATGCATGTTTTTCAAGGTTTTCTTGTACAATTACACTTTTATAATGAAAAACGTTTTTAGTCATTTTTTTCTTCTTCTTTTTCTTATGAAGTTATGGAGTAGGGCTTTAAATAAATCAAAAAATAAAGAGACACAGATTTTACATTGAGTAAGTGTTTTATTGCTTTCATTTCCAAAGAGCTCTCTGTTGCATGGAAAGTTTCCCATTTAATATACTTTACTGCAAAACCTTTTCAAATGCATATTACCATTCGATTAGACCCACATTGGATCTGTGCATACAGGAAGCAGCCTTCTACTTCAGCTGATGGCAAACAGCTTGGAACTGAAAGTCACTATTTCATTTCACACATAATCTTTTTAAAGCTTTTCATAACAATAACCTTCATAATACAAAGATTATGAACTCACATTTGCTCTTACAAGAGGTGAATTAATTTATAAAACAAACATAAATGATAAGTATCCATACAAGAACGCTACAACAAATATTTACTTCACATGAAATGGCGTTAGTGATAATGGCACCTTCCTGGCTATGCCGTGGGCTAAAAAAAAGTCATCAAAATACTTTCATAGTTTAGTGATCACATTGTAAGCCAGGTATGAAAAGAGCATTAGGCTTAAAGGGTGGCATGTGGACCATAGAAAGAGATAGAAAATTAGTTTGGCACTGAAAATTAAGGACATGTTCATAGTTTTACATTAAAAAGAAATGCAATAGTTGTGGTGATAGTTTGACTATCTATAAAGAATACTGAAAATCTATATCAGAATATTTCAACTGTAAAAACAATACAATTAAACCAGAAAACCTGTAAGGACTGAGACCTTTAGAAAACTGTATAAAATGGCACCAGTAAAAAGAGGTTTCAAGAGTTGAGCAAAAATGCAGTCTCTGATGCAGTCTAAACCAGCGGACATGTCACCATTAAAGCATAAAAAAGCACCAAAATGTGCATGGACACGTGTACAAATGTCCCAGATATGTGTAGAAAATCAAAAGTCCAAAGAGGAAAGAGCAGAGAGGGCAGATGCTACCCAGAGCGTGTGAGCAGAACGTGAGCCAGCTTCAGTGCACATGGAGCTCTTTAGTGTTGAGGACACGGCCACGACTGGCAGGCACTGTGGCACTGCGGATCACCTCCATCCATCTACACACAACAGAGAACTGGTTAAGATCTTGTAAAATGAAAATCTAATAGAATATGTACCATAAACAGTAGGGATGTAACAATATCCAAATCTCATGGTATGATATTTTCACGATATACATCTCATGGTACTGTATTTAATGCAATATTTTGTAGAGGCTAACAGAATTTACTACTACTACTACTACTTTTTCCTCTTAAAATCCCTTGACAAGACTTAATCCAAAGAACCAAGATTTAAAAGTGCTTAGAACTGCTATTTTTTCATGTAGTTTGCACCAAAACAGAGCAAAGGATCATGGTCGACGTAGTTACAATGAATTTAAGCAAAGAAACTTGAGATTCGATATATAGTGATGGCCCACGATATTATTGAGAGACTTTTGACGATACGATATCATGATATTTTGGTTATTGTTACACCCCTTATAGAGAACATATATAAATGGACATAGCTAGCTGTATTTCATATAGGAAGTGAACAAAGGTAAGCTTCTGGCTCTAGTGACTCCACTCTATTTCCAATTGACTTTACATTAAGAAACTGTTACCCCTCTGTCTGTAACCTCATCATTTTGGTCTTAAAATGTTCATATTAATCCACTCTACATGATCCTGTTTTTATTTCTCACAGTTTTCTCAATTAATAAATTCCTATTACCAATATAGCTCCAAATTCAGTCCTATAACTGCAAGCATTGTGAGTTTCATCTGACTGGAGCCACATTTGCTTAGTCCAGTATATATGATGATGTACCAAAAGATTGTGTAAGTATACCTTTCAAAAGTGTATTCACTCTCGGATCGGAAATAGTAGACATGGGACTTGAAATGCAGCTTGAATACATAGTCCTTGTGAATGTTTTCAGATTCGTTGGGGATTGTGACAGAGTATCCCAGGAGTGGAAGACTGGCCAGCGGGTAGTCATCCTGAACAAGAGAAACGCCCAGGTTAAAAATCCTATATTAAGCAAAACTGACTCTAATGAGCTCATACATGTTTGAGTAATCCTTTATTATTAGTCTTTCTACATCTCCAAAGCTCAAAATGCTCTGTTCCACCTTGTGATGTCATTGAGTTTTCAAGTTAACAGTTACCTTTTATCTTTTTGTTCAGTAGAGATTGGAAATTCAAGGGCTGAAATTATTTGAATGATTATAGTGAAGATGTGTGGAATTTAAAAACACAGTGGAGTGCTTCCTGTATTAACTCATGACATCACAAAGGTGGAACAGTGTTTTCTGTTTGAGAGAAGAACTCAGCCTAGATATGAAGGATTTGTGTGTAAAACGTGTGAATGCAACAAAACACAACTCCAGGTATGTGTTTGATGAGGAAACAACAGTATAACAAAAATTAGAACACAGTGTAATATGGGTCCTTTAAATACCTGGAAGTACACAGGAAAAAAAGTACAACATTTCGCCTTGTACACTCAGATGTGATACAGTGGTTCAAATACACAGACAGTGTTTGTACAAGGTTAGTGTCCTAACCTGGTGGGATTTGTAGAAAAACAGACTGAAGTTGGTGAAGACCACCCAGAGCTTCTGCCAGCCGTTGCTGTTTTTGAATTTCCTCAGGAGGTTTCCAGACAGCTGGTTCTAAAATAACACAATCAGATTAGGCATCTGAGCAAAAAAGCCTGTTACTCCCGTTGTAGTGTAATTGTACAGTATGTTTGTACAGTGGAGGACTCAAAAGGCTAACTTAATATAAACAGGTGGCTTGAATTCTTTCAGTCTGCTTAAATTAATCAAAATTGCCACTGATCCACTACATTCAAGGTATATTCGGCTTAGGATTTAGAAATACTTAAAGCACTGTATGTTCTTTCATGCAGAATTATAACTATAATATATCAAATACAACACTGTGTCAAACATGTTAGGAGCAGTTTTACTTGTTTTGAAAGGGCAGTTTAGTAATATTTTCTGAACTTGTAGTCCATTTATCTATAATATTTGAAAACATTCAACCTAGAGCCTGATGTAGTAGCTGTATAAATACAAATTAATATTGCATTTTGAATGACTTAGATTTAGAATCAGTGTGTGACTTATTCTGGTGTAATGCAGTTAAACAGAGGTAAGGGCCTGTTCGTCTGCCTGGTTGTTTTACCTCTAGACTCTTGCAGCATTCACTAAAGGACAGGTTCTGAACTCGGTACCAGCAGATAACAGACAGAGGCACCGGTCCCTGGCCACTGGGGGGCCCCACCGAGGGGGCCTTATTCTCCCTGACTGGACTAGGGTCCTCTACCACGGAGCAATGCACAGACGCATGGGAGCAGAAGAAGACAGAGAAAAGGGACAGGGAGGGAGAGACAGAAACACATTGGTGAAACACAGGATGCATGCAGTGGCAGGGATCACACGAGCGGCCAGTCCAGGCTGTGAACAGACAGGGTTACAGGCAGCTAGAGCGGAGCGTCCACACACCACAACAGTAACAGGGCTCAGAGTGGAGAGCTGTGAGGTTTAGTTTATCTACTCTGAGTGCAGCTCTGGCTCCATAAGAGACAGACAGAGGGGCCAGGAGAAAAGAACAGAGCAACAGAAGAAAGCTACAGTTGGTTAGAAAAGGACATCACACTGACGGCTGTTACCCACAACAGGGGGAGGTGGGAGAAGTATGCTCGTGCACCACTTTACACAAATGTCTCTGATTATGTGCAAGTTCATAGATAATCATATCTTATTATGTAACTCATGTGAAGCAGTGCAGTTCAAACACAGCACGACTAATTCTCTTATTCTTTAAACATAATAGCTGAAGGGCATAGTCTTTTCAGACTAGGCTGTTAATTAACAGAATACTTTTCCCACAAGAGTTTATCAAAGTGAATTAAGTGAACACTTAAAAACAGAGTAGAGAGAGGCGAGGGCAGGTCTGAGGTAAGGCTAGCAGTTTGGGCTGGTACCTCCACAGCTATGCTATAGTCCATCATGGACACACTGGTGTTCCTGTGCCAGCACACGTGCACCATGGTGTTACCACGGTGAGGAGTGGACCTTTCGGAGGGCACGTGCGGTGTCTCGTCTTCAGACTCCGCCTCTGCCGAGGAGTCCTCCGGGCATTCTGGGAAATTAGGAGGCTGTTACTGCTAGAAATGAGTGGGATAGTGAAGGGGACAGAGAGGCGCTAAAAAGACACTGATCACACATTAAAGCATTCACGAAGGTATAATTATGGTTTTCATGTGCAGCAGAGAACTGTCTTCAGCAGTTCAGTTAAATTCATGTGCAAAAGTTATGTTAGAAGAACACTTACTGTTGTCGTTGAGGTTGCTCATCAGAAGATCTGTGGATGGTCCGTTGCTGATTTTGACTGCTTCTATTGCTGTTTTTAAATCTTCTATCCACTTTTCCATTTCTGACAGTGAACTATGGGTTAAAAAGAACCACATTCACTTTGTTAGAAGCTTTGTCTTTGAGTTTTTTCCCCCATAAATAAAGTAGTCATATCTTTAGATGGTTAATTTTAGCCATTGAATACATTTCATACCTTGCTGCTACCACCACTGACTGCTGCTCTCCCACCAATGTGAAGGCATGAGGCACACCCCACTCATCTTCACTCTCTCTGATCTGGAAGACACACAGACGACAATGTGAGACAAGACAAAAAAGAAAAAAAAAGAAAAAAAACAAAAAAACAGAGATTAGCCATATCTGGGATGCCAAAACCAAAATAGAAGGTGGGCAGATGAAAGGCAGAGAAGCAACATATGTGCTTGTGTCTTCGTGGGGGGCCTTGTCAGCTGTTAGTAGCAGATAATTTGTGAAAAAAGCAACTGTTTAATATAGAAAACAATACTCACTGTCATCCCACGGAGAGGCAGCTGCCCGTGGACTTTAAACTGATTGGTTGATGTCATCCCTCGACTTGTGTACAATATGACGTCACTGAACTAACATAAAGAAGAGAAAGTGTCATGGTAACAGCAAACAGACAAGGCACCATGTAACCAGATATACTGTACTGTTCAGGAGCCAAAAATAGCATCAGTAGTACTTTATTTACATTGACTTTAACTATATCTTTTTGGTTACATAATACTTTCACCAAGTGGAAAGTTTCCATAGCTAATGATTTGAATGGGCCAGGAATTCTGGGTAATGTGAAATCCAGAAATAAAACAATGTGCCAATGACTTCACTTTTTTGGATAATTACAGATATCACATAAACCAAGGCAAGAGTGAGTTACCAGGAAAAACATTCGCTGCTGAAGACCTTTTCCAGACAACTTGCTGAGGCATCCTAACCTAATGAACTCCTGGAAAAAAAAAAAATCCATTATTTCTGCAATAAATAATTTCAGTGAAGTTTAAATATAGCTTTTATGCTCACCCGCCCTGGGACGACAAGATTGTCCACGCCAACTAAGTCCTTTTTTAGCTCCAAAAGTTTCTGGAAGTTTTCCATCTTGATTAAGCTTGTTTGAAGCTGGTCCACTACTTCTGATACATCAGCTAAAGCCGCTACAGAGCACATAAAGATATCAGTGTTATTCTGCAGAGAAATAATTCAGCCATCAACACCAACAGTAATGCTTTATAATAACTACACCCTAATTAATTCATAATGAAAAACTAGTTCTAATAAGGGTCCATATTTTAGTTAAAATAAAGGTCCATAGTACACTATTTTCTGATCTATTTTATATGTTGCAACTTCATCAAAAACATACCTGGAATTCTGTTTTGTTTCATTTACACACGTTTAACACACAAACATATTTAGGCTGAGAAAACACTCTTATCTTATGATGGCATGTGGAAATACAGGTGCTCCACTGTGTTCTTAAACTCCATACAACTTCATTAGAATCACTTGGTGATTTCAGCCCTAAAATTACCAATCTTAAACTGAATTAAAAGTAAAAAGCAGCTGTTAACTTGAAGCCTAACACTACATGACATCACAAGGTGGAACATGGTGGAGCATTTTGAGATATGGAGATGTAAACAGACTAATAATAAAAGGTTACTCAAACATGTGTGAATGAAACAAAGCACAACTTGATGTATATTTTTGAGGAGGTAACAATATTCTAACATGGGTAAAAGCTCACAAGAGTTAGTTTCGCATAATATAGGACCTTTAAGTAGTTACTAAGCCTGAATCATTTGCAATAAACAATTAATTGATTTAACAAATTAAATTTAACAATTAATTGAATTAAGTTTTTCTTCATGCTTATTACAATAAAGTGTTACCACATCAGCTAAAGCATGTCAAGTGATAGTACTATATACCTCTGCAGTCTCTAAAGTCCACATGTGTTGCTGGGTAATGTTTACATAGTCGCTCCAGGATCTGCTTGTAGTGGATGAGTCTGTGTAAGGGTCTCAGAATGAACACGTTGAGAGGGATATAACAGACTTTCTGAAGCTCAAAGTCTCTACAGAGGGTCTCCAGCCTACGCGAGAGCCGGCACGCCTTCTCCAGCTCCACCAGGATGTCCGACTGCTTGTGTAGGTTGGTTGTCAGGGGCTGTAGGTACAAAAACATCAACAAAAACATCAGTGTTAACATTAAAGGTGCACTGCATAACATTTCTAGTGGAGGGCTCGCCACCTGGTTGTCTCCATGGAAATATTTCTGCTTTGTCTTGAATGTTCCCCACTTAAGACTAAACCTATCCATCAAGAGCAGGTTACAGCATTACGCTACATTACAATTCAAATCTGTGGAAAGTCGCCCCATTCACAAAGAAATAATTATATTTTTGAGCAATAGAAACACCCATAATGAATGTCATACCATAGAACATTCCTGGCAAAGCAATAACATCTCCATGAAGATAAGTACCCAGACCCTACACCAAAAAAGTTGCGCAGTACACCTTTAACGGTAGCAGATCGTGTGTGTTTTGTGTTTGAATAAAGTCTGAGTACTATACCTTTAAGGCTTGTAGGTTCTTTAACATTACATCTCCAATACGCTGGTAATCTCCTTTAATGTGGGCATTTGATCGTCCTTCCCTGTAGCAGACAGAGCAATTAATCGCAAGTAATGCCACTATGTTTAGCCTTGTATCTTTTAAAACATCCTTCACTGGTTTAAGTAGTCATCTAAAAAGCAATGCCATAACCCCATATTATCAAAATTTAATTCAAATAAATAATAATAATTAATATTGTAAGTAGACTTTTAGATCGTTCTGTGTTTAATTAGCAGATGAAATATTTTTTATCTTCTATCTTGTTGTCTACTATTTTTTTCTACCAGCAGGGGTCTCCCTTAAGCAGGATTTTTATTCTACTATTCTGCTATTACTGGATGCACTCACTTTTCCACTGTTTAATTAAGAATGTCTGCTTGATAACAGCGCCAACCAACACAAGAAACATGTGTTATGTAATGTTGTACTTCACAGAGTCGTTTAAATATGCAAAGGAATAAACAAGCCATCCAACATTGATTTGCATAGGGTTTTGGAGCAGAGTTGCAGGCAGTATCTCACTGTACTGATGCAGGTTAAGAAATAAAAATAAAATAGTAAAAATGGCTGCATGCATTCCTTTAGCGTATATGGGTTTATGCATCACTGTCTGAGAGTGTGATGCAGTGTGCTACCGTTATAACGTCATTAAAGAGATCAGACGCCAAACCCCACAGGCAAAAACAGCTCTGCTACTGTATGACTGTTGCCATGGAGACAGCAACCCCTTAGGTCATCTAAAAGAGACTCTCCTGTTTGATTAAATGCCACTAAAACTCATTAAAAAGAGCTAAGAAGTTGACATGACAAACAAACAGCAGTGAATATGGCTCAGAGCTATAGAGCATCTCACCATAGGGCCAGTCTCTGCTCCACCTCCCTGAGAAACCCTGTGTGGAATCTGTGCAGAGGCTCAAACGTGGAGGACAGGGTGGTCTTCAGAGAGTCAGGGGTGGACTCATCTTTTCCTATGGCACTCTGGAAAGACTGAAAGAAGCAGTATATATGATTACTACGCTATATACACAAATAGAGCAAATACAAACGCTTCTGTAAAAATTTACCTACAGAAAACTTTTACAGTAGACCTAATATATTGTATTTTTAGTAGTGTTTTGTCACACTTTTGTAACACACTTTTGCTTCAGGTTTTGACAGTTAGAACAAAGGCACATCATCATTCTTTGAAGGTGTACTGTGTAACTTTTCTGTTGGGGGTCCGTCACTAGCTTGTACCTTTGGATATGCCATTGCTCTGCCTGGGATTTTTCACAGTTTGACATTAAGCAGATCTACCTTACATTTATTCAATTACAGGTGGCTTTGTTGCTTAAAAATATCTAGAAAAACTGACTAAGCAGGGTTACCTCTCCACAGATCTGACCTGTTACTTAGTCTGGTTTGGACAACATGAAGATAGAAAGGTTTAATAGCATCTCCACTGAGACAAGCATTTGACAGATTCTCCCCAGAAAAGTTACGCAATGATTTAATAACACATCTAATTAACACAAACTTTAATAATGACATTTTTGTAATTGGGAAGAGATTTTCAGTTTGATAAATTGCACAGCTCAAACAAAGGACAATGTATGCATTCTCAAACAAATAGTGATTGTCAAAAAGAGTTACTCGAAAGTTACATTACTCAACCTGTATTGTTTTGATAGGTCTTGATTCTGGGAACCTTGGTGTCAACTTTCTTTCTTCTTCGTTTTAAATACATGAATAGTTTAATTTTTACACTTCTACTTTACTACTTCACTGTTTACGAAAGGAAACAATAAAACTACAGATTCTTTTGAAGTCGGCTGTTAGTTGGACACAGTTGAAAGGTACTTCGAGAAACGTAAATGTTTTGGAGGAGAGCCTGATGAAGTCCACCAGGGGTAGCAGCTGTTGATCGGATGACTTCACCCTTAATAGATACACAAACCAGTGTGTGGGAACCCAGGCACAAGAGTGAGACAGAGCACATATGGACCACTATGACTCCAGTAAAAACACTGCACCACACAAGATACACAGTACAATGTGTAAAGTACAAATATCAAATTAAGAACTTGTTCATAGATGAGTTGCATGATATTATATTATGATAGAACTCTAGCTTGTTGTAGTAGAAACAGTAAAAGCAGTAGTAGTAGTAGTATTTTACTTACATCCCCTTGTATATAGTTAAGATATTTTTTATGACTTATTATGACTTATTTCTATTTTATTTAATTTTTACTTGTAACAATTTATTATTATATTATTATATTATATTATATTATATTATTTATATTTTATATTATATTTTATATATTTAAAAAATGTCTGTGAAATGCGCTATATAAATAAAGACTTCCTTAGTTACTTATTTTTAATTTATTATTAGCATTTATAATTTTTGTATCTTTGCTGTTATAATAATGTAAGTATATATATAATGTGATGTGTGAGCTACTGTGTCCAAGTAATTTCCCTTGTGGAGCAATAAAGTTTGTCTAAGTCTAATTCTAAGAAGTAGTAGCAGTAGTAGTAGTAGTAGTAGTAGTAGTAGTAGTAGTAGTAGTAGTAGTAGTAGTAGTAGTAGTAGTAGTAGTGTAGTAGTAGCAGTAGTAGTTGAAGTAGTAGTTCTAAAAATACACAAGCCCAAATCAGTCCAGTTCCTTTAAAGCACCACACGTATTAGTATTCATGGGCTTGACTGCTTGAGATAAATTGTTACAGAAAAAGCTTGTGTGGTGAATGAATAAAAATGAATTCCCGGCTGCCAAAATATCCCTGTGTCACTTCCCCACTGTTTTGTTTGGGTTCTGCAAGCTGAAATGGAGCAACTAAGTGGAATAATCAATGCCTGCTCCCCAAGGTGAAAGAGGAACAAAAGTTTAGAGAAAAGATACTGGAGCAGGAAGTGGGACTTACCACCGTGATCACCTCCAGATCCTTCACGTACGTCCTCTCTGTGGTCAGAAGCTCCTTGGCAATGAAGTAGGCCCGGTCTGTCGGAAACCGCTGCACAAGTACAAGTACAAACAAACAAGATTTTTTCCTGTGATGATCCATTGCATTGTTGTTTTCGAAATACATAATACAAAAGGCTTTCTATATGAATTTTCCAAACTTAAAAACAAAGACTTAAAGGTGCACTGTGTAACTTTTCTAGCAGAGGGTCCGTCACATGCATTTCCCTATGGAGATCTTATTCCTGGAATGTTTCATAGTATGGTATTAAACCTTTCTATCTTCATTGAGACCAAATCAGACTGAGTTACAGGTCAGATCTATGGAGAGGCAGACCCGCTTGCAGTCAGAATGCTTGTTTTTCTAGGTAATTGAATAAATGTAAGGTAGAGCTGTTTAATGTCATACAGTGGAACATTCCTAGCCTGATTCATCAGATTGTCATCTGACCTTGCAGTAATAGGATTAATTCGCTCAACGGTAGGTGGGTACTTTTTTATTTATCCAATCGCTGCTATTTGGTCGTGACATATGTGATGGCCGAATCCCGTAGGAAGAAGGGCAATAATGTGTTTCTCCTTGAAATCACCAAACATTCTCTTTGTTCTGGCTTTAAACCCTCGATCTCGGGAATCGTTGCCAACACAAAATGTATGGCTTTGTCTACATCTATCTCGACCGCTTTGTTTACTGTTGTGCTGTACCACAAAAAGACCCAGACAGGTGCTTGAATTTGACATCATGGCTTCACAGCTCTTCACTGATTGACCGGTGCACAATTTACAACTTCAGGGGTTCTTGCAAACCGTCTAGTGTATTCCGATTCCTGACCTAGTTGCTGGAGAGAAATGAAATTAAGCGCACGCACTAGGTGGTGCCAACCTGGCAAGAACATTCCAGGTAGAGCAATGATATATTCATAGAAACAAGCAGGTGATGGATCCCCCAATCAAAAAGTTACATAGTGCACCTTTAACACACAAATTTCTCAAACAGTCCTCCAAAGCCTGAACTCTCCTTCGTACAACATGCTTTCACTGAGAGGAGATTGACTATAGACTTGTCAGTTAAAAAGCCCCAAGCATGTCATTGATGATTTGAAACTGAGTCTTGATCTTGATTAAAATTTGATTAATTGCACTGGCCTACAGGATACTGACATGTTTTACTACAGGACCTGTTTTAAATTACACTGTTTTAAATTACAATGGCATGACATTTAACCTGCCTCCTTGTGTCTCTGAACACTGATGTATGAATTTGTCTCTGAATGGGTGAGTGGTTCTCAGATATAGTGTATACTGAGAGCCAGAGTGCCTTAAAGGTGGAAAAGAGCTCGATAAAAATGCTCAACCAAAGTTTGGCTGTCATCTTTCTTATTGGTTTTGTTTATGAGGGTCATTCTTTGTCCACAAATAAAACAGTGAACAGATGGACTCTTCACTTTTGGACTTAAGAGAGCCACATTTTATTTATTAATTTTTTTACAGTGGTTAAAGTTCCCCTTTTTGAAGACTTATTGTTATTCTGCATAATCTTAATGACCTTATAAGACTGGTATGTAATGAAATGCAAAAAAAATAAGTGAAGAAAGTGTCTTATTTTAGTTGTATATTATTCATGTTTATTATTAAGTACTGACAAGCTGCTTTCTTGTTGGTCATTTTTCCATCCAGGCTCTGTAGGAGAGTGGAAAATACTCTGATCCCACTGGAGAGTTATCGAGGACAGTGCTATTTTCGGTATCAGACAGGGACTTTTTGTGGAACCAGCTTGGCAGCAGATTTTATACTGTAGAGTACTATCTGAAATGACAAACCTTCCTCCGTACATCATCCTCATCATCAGTGCGTATGCTGCAGGCATCGTTGAGGAGGGGGCTGGTCAGAGGAGAGGGCTGCCGACCGTCTGGACTCAGGCTGCACAGGTCCAGGGACTTCTGCCCGTTCACCAGGCCCAGGGAGTGGCACGGGGAGACGGGCTGGTGGGGCGTGACTACACCTGTGGAGGGGGGAGAGCAGGGCAAGTGAGGGGCGGGGCAAAATGTGGACACCCTATGGAGTAAGTACTATTACTGCTACCACAGTCATTAAGACTACTGCTGTTGACAAACACTTTTAAATACTATAATGGTTACTACAATAATTACTCCAACTAACTCTGGCTACTACTACAAATACTACTAAAATGAACAACTACTATTGCAACAGTTACTACAACTACTACAAATATGGCTACTACTACAAGTACTACTGAAATGTTTAACAACTACCATAATACCAACAACATCTACTACTACAACAATTACTACAGCTACTACAAACACTACTAAAACTACTACAAATACTACAAAAACTAACAACTATTACAACAGTTACTAAAACTACTACAAAGACTACCAAGACTAACAACAGCTACTACAAAAGTTACTACAACTACTACAAATAAAACTACAACAAATACTACAGAAAATAACAACTACTACAAGTTACTTAAACTATTACAAAGATTTCTATTACTACTATTACTGCTAACAGCTAAAACTACTACAAATATGACAAAATCTAACAATAACTATTACAACTGTTACTAAAACTACAACAGAGATACTACTACAACAACAAATACTACCAAGACTAACAACAACTACTACTACAAAGTTACTACAACTACTGCATACACTACTAAACTAAACCAAGAACTACAACTAACTACAACTACACTGCTGTTGCTACCTCTGCACAACAATCATCTAAACTCCACAGTAAAACACATAAGATTAGAAACAATATACTTACTTCAAAAAGTATTTTACTGGAATACTGAATGTTGTTAACTTCCACTGAGTGTATTACAAATAATTCTCATAAAAATGCCTTGGTTTGTGTAATTTTAACCTTGCAGTAAAGGGTAATTATCAGTGTTAATGGAGCATGACCCAGACTAGACCAGACCTCGGGGACATGAGTAACAGTGCGCGCTCTGTGAGGGATCTTCCTCAAGTGAGAATCACCATGACTCACTGTACAGTCCAGACACATCTGACTTCCCCTGTCTAGTTACAGTCACCAAACAAGCTCAGACACACAAGGGATCTACAGAGAGGGGGAACGGGGCTTTTATGTATCTGCACTCATCATCTTACACACAAGGTCAGATCCACTATCCTCTGCTGTCCTCACTGTGGCTGATATAGGCCAGTAAAAAAAAAAATCCGGGCTACACAAAACAGCAGGGGAATCAACTGCAAGTTCACAACACATGGACCAAAACATATTTAACGATAGCTTCATAAATATCTCCTTTATTGACTTTGGTATAAGTTGTATTTACAGTACTAATATTTCATCTAGCAGCATCCAAGCTCTGTGAACATGAAATAGTATTAGTGATAGTGTCAAAAAAGTAAAAATAAATATAATACTACAGATATAGAAAACTATCTTTTGTTAGTAATTTTAGTACATCTCAAATACAAATTGCAGATTGCAGTCAGTAGTTAGTGTACACATGCACAGATTCATTAGTAAAAGGTTACAGTAATGGGAGAACATTGAAAAAAGTCCATATTATGATACATGCATTAAGCAGTAGGACAAAGCAACATGCACACACAAACACCAGTGATCGATGAAACCTGAGATGTGTCCATAGTACTTAATTAAATATGAAATACATTTTCAGTGAGAGGCTTGTCACTGTCAAAATACATTTCATCATTTAAAGGTGCATTGTGCAATTTTTCTAGTGGAGAGTCCGTCACCTGCTTGTCTCTGTGAAAATGTTGTTGCTTTGTCTAGAATGTTCCACCAGTACAGATTAAACCAATCATTTTCAAGGGAGACAACTATAGCCTACATTAGAGGTCAGATCTGTGGAGAGGCAACCTGTATTTTCGAGTAATAGAAACACCCATAATGCTAAATAAACATGTTTAATGAAATTCCGGGGAACATTCCAGGCAAAGCAGTAACATCTCCATGGAGAGAAGCAGGTGACAGATCCTCCACCAGAAAAGTTGCACAATGAATCTTTAAATAATATAACAGGAATTCATGCATGTGAAGAATACAGACAAGTTGTGACATTTGCATGCTGGCAGAACAGAAAATAAATCATGATCATGGTGATACAAAATCCATCATCACATATCATTCATAACACATGAAGGAACACAAGGGCAACAGTCACCCCAGACGGAAGTGATGCATAAAAGTGCGGTGCAGTTTGCAGTGAAGTTTGGAGGAGGTGAGAGCAAATCACTGACAGAAACTAAAGCAGGTGTCAAGAGTGGAGAGAGATGAGCTATAAGCTGTTATGGAGAGGATCATCTACTGTAGAGCTGCACCAGACAACTCACTCTGACCTGGAAAATCACTACACTCAGCCAAAGCGGACTTTCAGACTGGCCTGAACTGAACCAAAGCTAATGACAGTCTAGTGCTCTTTTCTATTTGGTATAGTGAGGTTGCCAAAGCAAATCATTTGACTACACCATTACCTTTGCATACATACAAATGTGACTTCCTCATTCATTCTCTCTTTGGTCTGCTATCTGGCAACTCTAACCTCATCATCCTTATGTATTTATACCATTCACACAAGTTCATTCTACACCAAAACAATCCGGCATCTTTGGCTTTAAAATCATCTAAGAGGAGCTGTTCCTCTCATGTGTCATTTAAGATAAATATAGATGTTGTTAAATAAATACTTAATAAATAAATAAATAAATGTATAATGTGGAAATGTTATTCAAGGCATCAGGAATACTACTAAAAAGGTGAATAAAGAAGTTACTTATATAGACTTGTGACTCATGATTCTCAAGTCTCTATGGCTAGCAACTTTTTCATAACAACAGTAATGGCACTTATTTCTAAAGATACTGACAAAGACAAGATTCTGCATAAGAAAATGGCTTAATGTACCAAGCCATAAAAGCCTGACTATTTTATCCTATCTCATAAGCAATGCATCTTCTACAAATAGAGCCACTTATCCCTACCTCCTGCAGAGATTTCTTTTGAAGCTAAGCTTAAGATGGTCCCAATGTAGCCAGACAAAACCAGGTCTCCCACTCCATTAGGCCAACATGCAAAAGCTTTAAGGGTGCACTGTGTAACTTTTCTGGTTGAGGGTCCATTAAATGCTTTTCTCCATTGCCTTGTCAGGAATGTTTCACAGTACAGAATTAAAGCTTTCTATCTTTATGGAGACCAAACTAGGCCAAGTTACAGGTCAGAGCTATGGAGAGACAACCCCGCTCACAGTCAGAATGCCTGTTTTTCTGTATTTTTTAGCTATAAATGCATCTGTAATTGAATAAATGTAAGGTAGAGCTGTTTAATCTCAGACAGAGCAATGAGATATCCGTATAAACAAGCAGAGGATGGTCCACCAACCAAAAAGTTACACGGTGAACCTTTAAATGCAGATGCAGCAGAGTCATGTTGCTGATGCTAGAAGCTAAAATCATCATCAGCTTGGCATGTGTCCTCATCTGCCTCCTCGTCCAACTGAAGGCTCCCAAAAGAGAACTTACTTTTAGGGATATTAGAATAAGAAGAAGACTGGACAGAATTCCTACACATTACTGGACTGCCTGAGTTTTCGGATTCACTTGATTCCGAAGCACTGGTAGGGGAACTGTCATTGATTAGAACTACTCCCATGTGGTTGGTACGCCCCTGTCTTAATCGCCTATGCCTGGGTCTGCTTCTACCTGGAGCTGTTAGACCATTGGCCATCATGCGGCGTTCCAAAGCAGCCAGGCGCTCAGCCCTGGAAACACTTGGACGAGATTCCTGGTTTGGAAGGTTGTGGTGGGCTTTGTGAGATCTAGACTGGCGATTTGGGGCTGTTGAAAATCTACCATCAGCGCAGTTAGATGAAGAAGTTGGGCCGTAGCCATTTTGGATGCTATTCTGGCTAGCTGGTCTACTTTGGTTTGCAGCTTTTGTCAATGGCAAGGTGACAGGACTGCTGAAATCTCTTCTGTCACTCATCACTATTGTACTATTAATGCCTTCAGTCCTTTGGTAAAACTCATTATTCAGTCTAGTACCGGATTCTCTATAACCCATCCTACCTAGACAGTTGTCTTGATAATGGGATGCACTCTGTTCCATAAAACTCTGATGTGAGCGAGGAGATATGTTATAATCAAAATCGATGCAGTCACTAAATGGGATGTAAGTGCCCCTGGATCTGGTAGGCCTAGATGGCAGACCTATATTTGGGGCGTCCATGTTGGTGGGTCTGGCAGGACTCCGGGTCTCATCAGATGGTCTGGGCACAGGACGCTCCTCGTGCCCGTTCCTCTGGTGGTACGGACTGGCCCGCGTGATCCGGGACACTGCAGGGTCCTCCGCGCTCACAACCACTGAGTCTTTCCAGTGACGGTGAGGAGAGTCCACTCTCTCCCCCGGGGCGCCGAGCTGATGAAGAGACAAAGACATTTAAAGACAAAACTCAAGTGGAAATGCTTGTTAAATGTTATAAAATTAAGAGAATTTTTTTGAAGAGTACATTGTATACCTAACTAATGGTTAAATTCTCATAAATACAGACCCACTTTCCATAATTTGAAAATATTATAAAAAGTGAAGCACAGCAGTACAGTATGACACACATTAACTTTTTTCTTATTTAATATTGTGTGTGATTTTTTTTTTTATCTTGTTTTTGTTTATTCCAATATAGTGATGATTTCTTGGTAAATAGTTTTAACCTTTTTGTCTACTGTTGTCAGGAGTTTGAACTGTTACTCTAATGAATAAAATAGTAAAATATAAGCTTAAACACATACGTCTGGCACTTCATGGTGTCTGGGTGAAGGCAAAGGTGACAGTCTGCTGTTATGCTGCACTCGAGTGTTGTACTGGACACGGCTGTGTTTCCTGTCACACAGGAAGTGGAAGGTCAGCGTCTGAGATTAACCAAATGTGTTCAAGCTGCCAGCAGTCTTTACCTTTCAAACGGGATCTTCTTAAACTCAGACTCCCTCACGTAATCAATCACCTGCTTCTGCGTGCGCCCGCTGCAGAGACAAGTTCAGGGGAGATAATAATGAGTTTTCAGGCAGAGCTGTGGTAGACTGTGAGGTGATGGGGTAGTGCCTGCCGAGAGGTGCTTTACACTAAACTGAAGGTACCTGAAACGAAATGACGATCCGCGTGACATAAGCACAGGCTTACGCTTGGGTTTGGGCTCCTCAAAAAGCCGGAAAAAGGCATGGTACTCTACACAAATCTTCCAAAAGACTTTACAGCAATCCCGACTGGCCATCAGGAACTCCAGTGTGTCCTGGTATGAGCTCTGGGGACAAAACACAATTTTAAAACAATAATTCAGCGACATATGAGCTTTCAATCTTACCTTATCACGTACATTCAGGTCTGGTCGCAGTTTGATAAGAAATCGTTTTCTCTTGAAGCTCAGTTTACGCACTTTAGACCAGTTGAAGGCGTTGATCTTGGTATGTCCCTATAATAAGAAAACAGAATAAACCATTTCAACAATTTCAACATACATACTCTTTCCTAAACTTAAAAAGCAAATGCAATTTTCTGATCTATGTTATAATGATGTTTCCTCATCACAAACATATCAGGAGTTCTTCACTCAAACAGAAAACACTTTGTTCCACCTTGTGACGTCATGTGGTAATACAGGAAGTGCTCCACTGTGTTTTTACACTCCATGCACCTTCACTACAATCATTTGGATGATTTCACCCCTGGAATTTCCAAACTCGACTCAAATTAAACTTAAAAGGTAGCTGTTAACTTGAAAACTACCACTACATGACATCACAAGGTGGAACAATTACTCAAATGTTTGAATGAAACAAAACACAACTCCAGGTAAGTTTTTGGTGAGGTAACAACATAATAACATGGCTTAAAGCACACAAGAATCCACTTTGTGTAATATAGAACATAAAAACTAAAAAACTAAAGCATCCCAAACTAGCACAAACCATGTCACAACCTGTCTCTGTTTTGTTATTGATGAACGTCTTCAGCTTTAAAACTCAACTTAGCAAAGCCCTAAGGATTTTCCCAATAAACTCAAGAGTAGCTTAAATATAAAGCATTTAATCAAACAAGTAGAGACTCTTTCATCATTGCCTTCAGTTGTAGCCATGAGCAGAACTAACCTGAAAGACCAGGACGCCCGTGTGTGCCACTGTTAAACTCAAACTGGACCCCTCCCGATCCTTGGCGGGGTGCAGGCGGATTCCGTACATCTCCAACCTCCGAGCCACCTCCAATAAATGATAGTCCGATTCTGCTGGTGTTTGACCTCTGGAACAAAACAAAATCAAAAGTCATGTCTGTTCTTTTGATTTTAAGCATTTCTTTTCTGTGACAGACGCCCTCTCAGACACAGATTTCTCATTTTCACTAGGCCTGTCCTGTTCGATGGATGACAGATGGAACAATAATTTTTGGGGGTCAATATTTATATATTGTGGTACTTTGTATTTGTGCTAGTGGGACATTTTTGGTTATTTTTAGATACTATGATGAGATTTAAAATGTCAAGGTTTGAATTATGAACTTCTGACTCATTGATTCACATGACCTGTAACTGCTTTACTTTTTGTTTCTCTACTTCCTTAATTGCAGTTCATTTTTAAACAATACTGTACATACTTTTGAATACTTTTTGGGGCTATTTCTGCTTTATGGTTTGGTTTCAGTATTATTGTTTCATCTACATTGATTTCAGCAATATATCAAAATGTGTTATCATGACAGACCGGATTTTCACTGGATATCAGAATGGCATGGCACAGTGGTAACTAATGGGGATCAATACGTGCCAAAAAAGTATGTGTAGTTTGTGTCAAAGAAATAATATCTGGGTTTTTCCATGAGCAAGTTTCTGTTTAATGGTATGAGCGATAAGCAAGTATTTTGTTCAGCCCTAACAAACATTTAGACACGCTAACTGCTTATTTCCTCTGTACAGTTCTCGCTAACAGTGTAGATTATACTCATTATGGCATCCAGCCAAAAATAACAACCACATATCATGGAAGTTTAGGCGGAGAATAAATCCTAATGGAAATCTACATGTCCATTTTAAACACTGGGCAACACACCGGCAGAAGAAGTAAGTCTAAAATAAGGGAGAGTTTTAGCTGATCAAATGTTGTGAAGCCATGCGTGAGTTTGAGCGGTAAACTGTGAGGAGGAGACCTGGACTGTTTCCAATAATACTGTTCTGAAAGCATAGCAACAGTCACATAATGAGAAGAGTGGATAAAAGAAAAGCTCCAGTGCACAGGAATGCACCAGCAGGCCCCCTCCAATAAAGACAAGAGGATCTGACACAGCTGTGAGCTACAACCAGGCTTTAAAGATGTGAACAGAATAAAGATTGGGTTCAAGACTAGATACTGTCAGAAATTCCAATATTATTATAAAGCTGATACAAGTACATGACAAGGTAGGCAAATACAAAAAAACAAAACAAAAAAAAACTTAAACTGGAAGTAATGTGTCACTTCTGCTGCTGTGAATTAAAGGGAGCAAAAGAAAAACATACCTGCATCTGTGTTTTGTTTAATTCACACATGTTCAACACACATGTGTGAATATTTAGGCTGTCTTCTTCTCTCATGACACCTTGTGATGTCATGTGGTAATACAGATGTATGTAATACAGGGATTGCTCTACTGCGTTTTTAAACTCCATACACCTTCAGCAGAATCATTAGGATGATTTCATCCCTGGAATTGCCAAGCTCTACTGAACTAGATCAAATGTACTGTTAAAGGGACATTTCGGAATTTTGGACATAGGACCTCATTTCCTAGTGAGCCAGAGTGTTGGAGATACGTGGAGACACTTTTTAAATATTCCACCCAGTCCTTGCATTTGCAGAGGTCACTGGTGCTAGGCTAGTGCATGTCAATGGCCATAGTTAGCCTGCCACTAAAAACAGTCTTACCCACTCCACAAAGCGCCCAAAGCAAATTATTATTACACGAGACTCTCAATGTGAATGTCTGTGTTAATAGAATAATGTTTGAAATAAAACTAACCTTGCATTGCATGAATCGTCGCATGTTGAGGGACTATTTCCCCATATATCAGTCCACCGTTGCCAAGATTTCTATCAGGAAGTACAACTCGCTGCTGCTGCTGCTCAGACATAAATCCTTCAAATGCAAGGTTGGTTTTCTAAAATGATTCTATCGACACAGACATTTACATCGACAGTCTGGCATTATAATTGCTTTGCTTTGTGGAGTGGCAGGATAACTATGGCCATTAACATGCACTAGTCTAGCACCAGCGACCTCTGCAAATACAACAACTGGGTGGAATATTTGAAAAAGTGTCTCCACACATCTCCAACACTCTGGCTCACTTGGAAATGAGATCCTATGTCCAAAAATTCTGAACTGTCCCTTTAACTTGAAAATTACTGTTCATGACATCACAAGGTGGAACAGAGCGTATTGAGCTTTGGACAGACTAATAACACAGGATTGTTCAAACATGTGTGAATGAAACAACACACAACTCCATGTATGTTTTTGATGAGGCAACAGCATTTTAACAATTATCATATAAAAGCAATGTTGTGTAATACAGGACTTTTAAGCTGCTACTTTATCAACTACTTCTACTACTATAATAAACCTTTTATGCCTACTTCTGTTGTCACACAATATAATATAGTAACTTCCACTACAAATACTACTACCATTTTCACAGCCCATCCCATCAACCACATAAAACAATCAAAAACGAAAACAGCTACACTAGACATTATCAAACTGAGAAAAGTATTTTACTACCAACTAGACATTTACCAAAACTGCTGATCTCTAAAAACTGAGCCAGAAACTTCAGTACTTTCCCTGCTTATGCCACTAGAGTTAAACTCCTGCAGGACAAGCTTACAAAAATCCCTGTTCTTGTTCACGCATGAGGAGAACGATTTGTGCCCCGTCACGGTTTCACTTGACCTGATGATGTAAGCTATAAAAAAGCCTGTTCTGCTGGTACCAGCCTTTGATCCAGACTCCACATGTTCTGCACCATTGACTCACATATGCTTTGAATGAAACTCCATGATCTTGTCGATAAGGGGCATCTGATCTGGGATGTAAGAGTTGTTGAGGAGGTGTGACCGGCACTGGCTCTCCTCGAAGTCCCCAATCTCAGCTGAGGAGAAAAAGATGTAAACCGGTGTTAATAGTTATCTTTCATTAGTTAAGTTTATTAAAATTAAGGTCCTATGTCACGCAAAACTGACTCATGTGAGCTGTGAGTCATTTTAAACTGTTACCTCATCAAAATCATACTCTTGAGTTGTGTTTTGTTTTGTTTCATTCGCACATGTTCGAGTATTTCTGGTTTATTTGTATCTCTACATCTCCAAAGCTCAAAATGCTCTGTTCCAACTTGTGATGTCATGAAGTGGTAGTTTTCAAGTTACCAGCTACTTTTTGCCTTTTGTTCAGTAGAGATCGGCAATTCCAGGACTGAAATTATCCAGATGATTCTAGTGAAGATGTATATCGTTGAAAAACACAGTGGAGAGCTTCCTGTATTACCACATGACATCATAAGGTGAAACAGAGTGCCTGAGAGAAAAACGCAGCCTAAATATGCAGGATTTGTGCGTTGTTAAACATGTGTGAATGACACAAACTCAACTCCAGGTATGTTTTTGATGAGGAAACAAAATTATAACATAGATCAGAAAATAACTGGCTGCACATCACTGTAATTGTGTTCTGGCTGAGTTGTGGTTAACATTGGTTGGTGATAAAAGTTTCACTGTTTATCTTGGCTAGAGACACAAAAGGTTTACAAGCTCTTTACCTTCTATTAATAGCCTATAAAGACAGCACTGCATCCACTTAATGATAATAATGAATGAGAATTGTACTGTATAGTCGAGCCCTGTTTTCTATATTTAAAGGTGGTTTATGTAACTTTTTGGAGGGGCGGTCCACCATCTGCTTGTCTCCATGAAGATGTTATTGAGTTGCATGGAATATTCCACAGTATAGCATTAAACTTTAAAGTCTGACATGACATACACGCTGTGCCTATAGAATAAACATAACAAAATCCAAAAGATACTCCAATCAACTCATATACGTGTGTCATACTGTATACATTTATTAAATATTGTTATTGTCATCGCTTAGAGGGGCACTGTGCAACTTTTCTATTAGAAGGTACGTTAACTGCTTGTTTCTATGGATATGTCATTGCTCTGCCTAGAATGTTCCACAGTATGACATTAAACAAAGCTTCCCAACATTTATTAAATTACAGGTGGTTTTAGAGCTCAAAAACACCTAGAAAAAAGGCATTCGGACTATGAATTCAGACTAGCTTGCCTCTCCACAAATCTGACCTGTAACTTGGTCTGGTTTGGTCTCCATGAAAATAGAAATGTTTAATGCCATACTATGAAACATTCCAGGACAAGGAAAAGCATCTCGACTGAGAAAAACACCTGACGGGCCCTCCACCAGGAAAGTTACACAAAGCACCTTTAACATTAAAAACAGAACAGAAAAATATATCCTTATCTGAGAGCCCTTTTTCATTTCTTTTTTCAATTTTGACATAAAACTGATAAGAACTTAACATCCTTTCTACATATATCAGAGTTGTAGTTGTTCACCATGGCACCAGTCCTTCTCTCTACAGCTCTGAAATGTCAGGTTATAAAAATACCCAGTATTCTTTGACAGCGCGTCATCACATCTACTCTTTCTACTGGGGCTTCTGATTGAAAGGTATCCATGGCAACATAAAGATAATCGATTTGAGACGAGAAACTGAGGGCCGTCTGATGATGAGTAAGAAGAAAAATGTCTGATTTGCTTTGATGTGCAGAGCTAAATAAAGACTCACATTGGATAATATGGGAGACCAATAGTGCGGCGCTGGTGTCATTGCACGTTAGGCGACCACAAGAGAGATCCTGCTTGATCTGAAGAGCAAATAAATATCTGAAAAAAAGAAAAGAAAGAGAAAGGTTTATTTTTTAGCAAGATAAATTCGTACTTGGCTAGATCTAAATAACCCCCATCTTCTCTATGGTGTTTCAGTTTCTGTTTATAGGTTATATTGTAAAGACTTTTGCCCATTCAAAATAACCTATTATTTTAATTTACTTTTGTGAGCTTTAAACCATGCTAGAATGGTGTTACCTCCTCAAAAACATAATGAGAGCTTCGTTTTATTTCATTCACACGTTTGATTAACCCTTTATTATTAACTGTCTACATCTTCAAAGCTCAAAATCCTCTGTTCCAGGAGTTTTCAAATTGGGAATTGCTTGAATGTAAGCGTCCCCTTAGAGTAGGTAAAGTCCTGGTTTAGACCTTGTTTTAATCCTGATTTTAGTCCTGGTTTAGTCCTAGTTTGGTCCTGGTTTAGTCCTGGTTTTAGTCCTGGTTTAGTCCTGATTTAGTACTGGTTTAGACTTGGTTTAAACCTGGTTTTAGTCGTGGTTTAGTCCTGGTTTAGACATGGTTTAGACCTGTTTTTAGTCCAGGTTTAGTCCTGGTTTAGTCCTGTTTTTAGTCCTGGTTTAGTCCTGGTGTAGTACTGGTTTAGACCTGGTTTCAACCTGGTTTTAGTCCTAGTTTACTCCTGGTTTAGTCCTGGTTTAATCCTGGTTTAGTCCTGGTTTAATCCTGGTTTAGTCCTGGTTTAGACCTGGTTTAGACCTGGTTTAGACCTGGTTTAGTCCTGGTTTAGACCTGGTTCAGACCTGGTTTTAGTCCTGGTTTAGTCCTGGTTTAGACCTGGTTTAGTCCTGGTTTAGACCTGGTTTTAGTCCTGGTTTAGTCCTGGTTTTAGTCCTGATTTAGACCTGGTTTTAGTCCTGGTTTAGTACTGGTTTAGACCTGGTTTAGACCTGGTTTTATTCCTGGTTTTAGTTCTGGTAAAGAGGCACAGTCCATTTGGAGTATATAAGGCAAAAAAGTCTCCAAACTGTTAGTAGCTTGTCAGACTGGCGACATAATTTTACAGTTAATACACACACTCACAATTACCGATATCAATCCTGTACAGATGTGGACTGTTATTTTTTCTTCAGGTCTCTCCAATGGCTTTTTGGCACTGCCCAACCTCACCTATTGAAAACCGCTTCTCTATTCCATCTTGTGAAGTTAAGTAGTGGTAGTTTTCAAGTTAACAGCTCCTTTTACCTTTAGTTCAGGAGAGATCAGCAGTTCAAGGCTGAAATTATTCAAATGACTCCAGTGAAAGTGTGTGGGGTTTAAAAGCCAAATGTTTAACGTCTGAGGGAAGAACTTAGCCTAAATACACAGGGTTTGTGTGTGATATGAAAAACAAAACACAACTCCAGTATGTTTTTTTAAGAGGAAACACCATGATAATATACACTAGAAAATGGCATATTATGGACCCTTTAATTGACCCTTTAACTTATATTTTAATATTTTTGAAACCCATGAATTGGAAGTTCTGGCAATTCACATTTTAGAAACTTTTTTTTCTGCATACAAATACAAATTTATATGTAAAAACTGACTTAAAAAACAACTAATCTAATCCTATCCACCTTGAACTCCTTTCCTGCATCATATTTTTTCCAGACTGTAAAATATGCCTATTAAATGCGCTTGATCTTTTTGCAAAGCAGAGAATAATTTACTCATTCTAAGCTCTAGGGAGGCGTGAATCGTAAACATGGCAGCCGTGACATGGGAAGTGCAGCATTCCACCAGGAACCAGAGCACATGTTTCAATTATGCGTCTTCAGTAGCGCTTAGCCACATCTCAAGACATTTACATCAACAAACTGTGTATAAAAGCTAGTTTACCCAGAAGAACACATAATGAAATCATAACACAGGAATAAATATAGAAATATGTGTGGAGAGAGATAGGAGGATACCTTGTCAGTTCTTCAAGTAACTGAGTGTGGTCAGGAGGAAAGAACTTCACAGCAAATCTCAGAATGGTGTGTTTAGGCCCTGTAAAAATATACAGCATAATATTATAGTTTATAGATGGGTGAAAATAAAATATATAAAGGTATTAAACATTTAAAGCTTGTTTTTATGTGCACTTACGTCTGAGCTGCTTTATAATAGGCTTAATGTGATCTAACCAAACCTGAAAAAGAAAAGAAAACAACACATATTTATTCATTCATTTTTCATTATGCCAGAGTAATAAACCTTTTTCACAACAGCCGGAAGTGCCCCGCTTTAGGTTTGAGGAACTTCAAGATAATGGTTTTCTATGGCAAAATGTCTGGAAATGTCTCACATATTCTCCACCATCTTAACAAATCTGCCTGCCCTGTCACCAAATGTTCAACCAACAAGGTCCACAAAGGATATACTTTCTTCCACAAAGAATTTATCCACAACTCTCAAGGTAGGAAAGACGGAAGGTTAAAGAGACAGTTTGGAATTTTGGACATAGGACCTCATTTCCTAGTGAGCCAGAGTGTTGGAGATGTGTGAAAACACTTTTTTAAAATATTCCGTCCAGTCCTTTTATTTGCAGAAGTCGCTGGTGCTAAGCTAGTGCATGTCAATGGCCATAGTTAGCCTGCCACTAAAAACAGTCTTACCCACTCCACAAAGCACCTGAAGCAAAACAATTATAAAGCCAGACTACTGATGTGAATGTCTGTGTCAATAGAATCATTTTAGAAGTAAAACCAACCTTGCATTTGAAGGATTTATGTCTGAGCAACAGCAGCGAGTTGTACTTCCTGATATAAATCTTGGCAGCGGCGGTCTGATATCAGCTAGGACCTATCACACGGGCAAAAAAAATTCCGCTTCTGCTGAGAAAATCTTACCTCAACATGCGGCGATTCATGCGAGGCAAGGTTAGTTTTATTTCAAACATTCTATCAACACAGACATTTACATCGACAGTCTGGTGTAATAATAGATTTGCTTCGGGTGTTTTGTGGAGTGGGTAAGACTGTTTTTAGTGACAGGCTAACTGTGACCATTGACATGCGCTAGCCTAGCACCAGCGATGTCTGCAAATACAAGGACTGAATGTAATATTTTAAAAAGTGTTTCTACACATCTCCAACACTCTGGCTCACGAGGAAATGAGGTCCTACGTCCAAAATTCCGAACTGTCCCTTTAAAGGCGAACATCAACTAGCATTAGTGAACTACTGAGCAAAACTAGCGTTATAGTATGCTAGAGATGTCTAGCATTCGAACTGCACAAATCTGTCTATCTATGCTAATATCGACATCATGAAATTGCTTTTTAATTTTAATTGTAAAATCAGTCTGAGTTAACAAGCCACTTATGTTTTATTCATTAGCACAATGTTAGTTTTGCTCAGTAGTTCACTAATGCTCTGCAGCCGATGTCATGAACATTCTCTGGGGGTGGGAAGCTAACTGAAATCACTACTCTATTAGAAGCTCTGTAACTCAAATTAGACTTAATCTAACTTTTATTTTAACACAATCTAACCAGGAAGAGCTGACTTGGTTGGAACCAGAACAGATAAGATTATTTGTTTGCTTAAAAACATCTCTCACACATAAACAGGACCATGAATGCTCGTAATGATCACATGCTCCTAAAAATGTGTTCTGTAAATTAATTTTGTGTTTGTGTGAGTTCCCAGACAATCTTAAAACTTTGCTAATGTGTGCATTGTGTCCCCATGGTAACTCCTAAAAATTCCACCATTAGAGATACATGTAGAACTCCCCCAGTATGATGTCACTGGATAGCAGTAACAAGGTTAATCTGAAAGAAAGAATTGTTAACCGGTCTACCAGCAAGCCTCCCGTATATTTCCTGTATATTTTTCAAACCTACCATCATCTTTTGGTGGTTCTGAAACTCCAGGCCGAAGTAATCTCCTTCGATGAGGTTCATATGGGAGCACACCAGATCCAACAGCAACTTCCCTGGGGCTTTTTTCTGTAAAAACAAAAAGAAACATGTTGATTAGACTCACAATTCAAATATAATATTACAATGAGTAGACAATGCATGTACTTTTGCAATCACCTACAGGAACCCCATGACAATATAGAGTAGGACTGTGCAATTAATCATAATTTTAATCAAGATTGAGATTCAGTCATTTCCAGTCTTCAATTATATGCTTAAACCTTTTTAATGAAGAGGTTCAGAGCCAATCCTCTATCAGTAAATGCTTGTGGCTTGGAGAAGAATTCAGAGACTGGGGAAGAAATTTGATTGTTTTTGTAAAAATGTATTATTTTATGCTCGGAAAACATGACAGAATTTTTAAAAATCGAAAATTGTGAAAAAAACTATCGATATTTTTTTTTTTTTATATCATTTTGACCTGAGCAGCTGAGAGAATGGTAGATATTTTTGCTACTTTGCTACCAGAATTTATTATTGACATTTATATTTTTTTCTTTTTCTCTGTTATTATAATATATTGTGATGTGTGAGCTACTGTGTCCAAGTAATTTCCCTTGTGGATCAATGAAGTTTGAGTAAGTCTCTAAGTTAAAGTCTATCACCCAGCCCTTTCCAGTAAAAAGCAGCCAGAAACAAAAGGCTGCTGTTCTTTGTGGTCCTGTCAAACTGTGTTGGTTAACGTTGCCAGAGCAGATGACACCACTGCCCCGGCTTTCCCCCTTTGCCCCAGGCTCGATCCCCCCCCCCCCCCCCCCTCCCCCCCCCCCCTCCCCCTGTGATGCTCAATATACTGTGGGCCAAACAGACTCTATGAGCTGCTAAAAGACTTAAAGATGCACTATGTAACTTTCCTAGTGGAGGGTCTTTCACCTTCTTGTTTCTGTAGATACATTAATGCCCTGCCTGGAATGTGCCACAGTACAACATTAAACATTTATTCAATTACAGGTGGTTTTATAGCTTAAAAATACCAAGAAAAATAGGGACTGTGAGCGGGGTTGCCTCTCCACAGATTTGACCTGTAACTTGGTCTGGTTTAGTCTCCATGAGGAAAGAAAGGTTTAATACCGTACTGTGAAAAAATCCAGACAAAGCAATAACATCTCCATGGAGGAAATAATTTGACGGACCCTCCAACCGAAAAGTTACGCAGTGCTTTAAAGCTAGCTCCTGTTGTGATTTGGTTAGTACAGCAGTATCACTTTTTTGGCTTGGATTTGGATTAACCAGTGCAGTGCAATACAAGACTGAGCAAGATAGCAACAACAACATATGAAAGTGTACCAGATATCATCATTTAAGGTCAAATAAATGTCAGAGATTTCCGCCACACAGGGAGAACCATGATCATATCAAACATAACAGTAATCACTATCACAAGGGCCAATCCCATGAGAGCCCAACGGCCAGAGCACCCAGGCAAATCTCCCAGCATCCACCTGAATTTTTGCCAATCTTAAAGGGACAGTACAGAATTTTGGACATAGGACCTCATTTCCTAGTTAGCCAGAGTGTTGGAGACATGTGGAAACACTTTTTTAAAATATTCCATCCAGTCCTTGCATTTGCAGAGGTCGCTGGTGCTAAGCTAGTGCATGTCAATGGCCATAGTTAGCCTGCCACTAAAAACAGTCTTACCTACTCCACAAATCACCCGAATCAAATCTACTATTACGCCAGACCGTCGATGTGAATGTCTGTGTTGATAGAATCATTTTAGAAGTAAAACCAACCTTGCATTTGAAGGATTTATGTCTGAGCAGCAGCAGCGAGTTGTACTTCTTGACAGAAAGCTTGGCAGCGGTGGACTGATATATGAGAAAATAGTCCCTCAACATGCAACAATTCGACAATTCATGCAATGCAAGGTTAGTTTTATTTTAAACATTATTTTATCAATAATAGATTTGCTTCGGGTGCTTTGTGGAGTGGGTAAGACTGTATTTAGTGGCAGGATAATGGCCATTGACATGCACTAGTCTAGCACCAGCAACGTCTGCAAATACAAGGACTGGATGGAATATTTTTAAAAGTGTTTTCACACGTCTCCAACACTCTGACTCACTAGGAAATGAGGTCCTATGTCCCTTTAAACTGACTCTATTTTTGAGAGTTCTTCTGTCAAACAGAAAACACTCTGTTCCACCTTATACTGCCATGTGGTAACACAGGTGCACCACTGTGTTTTTAACCTCCATACACCTTCTGTATACTCATTTCGATAATTTCAGCCCTTGAATAGTCAGAGTAAACAGCAAAAAGTTGAGCACTGCACCTTTAATGTTATCTTTATATGTGAAGCACTTTGGAAACTGTTTTGCTTATAAAATGTGGTATAAAAATAAAGGGGATTTGGATTTAAATAGACTTCATTTTTATTTGTCAATTTCTTTTCCTCATTCGTCTGTGTCCTCTGTCTCACTCCTGGCTGCCTCTCACAGAACAGAGGGCGACCAGCTGTTTCCATATGATGAGAGCTTTGATGAGAAAACCCACAAGAACTCACGAGACGGCTGCAGGGAAGGGCCACCAGCCAAAACACGCCCTCTGAACAGACACACAGACACACTAGTCACTAATATGAGACACCGCTAACAATCTGTAGCAAACCAACAAAATACACATATGAGGTCGAGGTTTGAGTCAGTTTGCTTTCTTAACATGAACTTTTATTAAAATAGAGAAACCATTCCAAGATACACATCACGGAAGATGTTTTTGGCGTTTATGCTTTTATATCAATATGAAAAATAAATTATCAACATATGCAATATCTGGATTTGCATTTTGATCCTAAAAAGGCTAAATAATTTGGAAGGCTATTGGCAGTATTCTCCAGAAGAGGTTAAATGTAATGGCATATATCCAGTGTAGAATATAGAAAATCTGAAACTGGCAAACAAAAACTAATCAAACTGATGCATTATATGAGATTTGTAACTTTACAGGAGAATTAGGGATCACATTTTAATTAATTTAACAGCCCTAAAGACTAATACACAATACATAAGTGAAATTTTCAGCACAAATGTAAGCAATGTTGTATTTTAAATAAGACCAACACTGACACAGAAGCCCCTTGCCTCCTCACATAATCTCCACTGTAAAAAATCAGTTGTCAGCGTAAACTGTGAAGCGACCAGGAGCCAGGAGGAGATGGTCAGCTCTGGGCCTGATTAGAGAAGGTTGGCTGTAGAGTAAAAGCAGCTGTTGTCGACTGGAGAAGTGGAGCTGCCATTTGACACTGCTGTAACCACACAATAACGCCACTGTTGTAAATGAAGCCCCAGCCAGCATGATTCACTGTGGTCGTAATACACTGCAAAACAATTAACTTTAACTGGTCAAGCATTTTAATGACCAAAATGAGGGTAAAGGATTTGTAATGGATTGTAAAATGAAAAAATAAATGGTCTTTCTGAAGGATTTTCAGCCTGTCGCCTATAGCATGTGACACCAGAAAACTGTGAAAACAAGGTCAGGAGGGCTCTCTTGTTCTGCTACACTGATTTTTTTTATTTTATTTTTTTCAAATGTGACAAGATTTTTTCTATTTTACCCAAGTACAGTTTATCTTATGTAACTATCAGTATCTACACTATATTAAAATGCATAGCTCTGTTGAGGCATTATAAAACTGTAAAGGCTATCTATAAATTAATCAGTTATTGTAGTATAGTTGATCATCAAATAACAAATCTTTATCTATTTTTCTCCATGGAGATGTTATCGCTTTGTCTAGAATGTTTCACAGTATGGTATTAAACCTTTCTATCATCATGGAGACCAAATTAGATCAAGTTACAGCTCAGATCTGTGGAGAGGCAAACCCACTAAATAGTCAGAATGTGTGTTTTTCTAGGTGTTTTTGAGCTACCTGTAATTGAATAAATAAAAGGTAGAGCAGTTTAATGTCAAGCTGTGAAACTCCAGGCAGAACAATGACATATTAGTATCTATAAAACCAAGCAGGTGACGGATCCCCAACCAAAAAGTTACACAGTGCACCTTTAAAAATGTTAAGATTACTAATGATAAACCAAATGCTCAAAAACTCTTTTCTTTAATGTCCCATTGTGGCTCATGGAGTATCTCTATTTACTAAAGATTCATTATTCCATAAATCAAATGGCTGTGTAATTTTTTCCACACTTTTAAAACACTATAAACACATTTTGGGAATTCAAGACACTTTGGTGAACCTTTGGACTATTTTATTGGTTTTCCACGCAATAGATGGAAAAAATGTAAAAGCATAAAAATGATCATTCTTGATACATCTCTTTTCCATAAAATGCATCACATGACCTGACACAGACAAGTATGAAGCTCATGCAATGTCTGGTACAACAGATGACATTTTTTCATCACGCAAAAGGCCAAGAAAATGTCACCGCCTCCTTTTTATGATCTATAAAATGTGTGCAGTCTATACCCGAGTGGCTACAGTTCCCAAGTGCAGCCATGAACATGATCCAGACACTTGGATTTCTTTATAGGGAATCTTTTTGCTTCGTTAGGTCAGTGCGCTGGCTCTTGGGATGCTACTACTGTTTACATGTGTATGAGTGCTAGCAAGCTGCATCGCAACACTGACCCTGCCACGGCTGGGCTCACAGTGAAAGGCTAAATAAAGATGACAGCGATGTCTGCACATGTCTGCTGCACTGGGGTCCTGAGGGTAGATGGTTATACAGTGCACCCCCATGCACACTCGCCCTCCCATCTCTTGCGAACAGAGTAGGCCTGTCACTACTGGGGAATTTTAATATTTTTTTTTTATAATAAAATAAATACATTTTATAATAGAAAATTTAATTATATATGTTTTATTTATAATATTATATTATTTATATTATTTTTGGCTAGATTTGAACCATAGAAGTTGGAATTAATACATTTCGATGACAGATGCAAACTAACTACTAAAGTAGCTTATTCTGCTGCTTATTTCTTGCAGCTCATGTTTTTGTTAGTTAGTTAGTTTTTGTTGTTTAAATATGCCCTAGAGTTTATGTGTCAAT